TTCAGGCAAATACATTATTCGAATGGTTTTTTCACCTAACATGATTTCAGGTAACCTTGAGAAAGGAGGGTGGGCTCCGCAAGGGCGAACCAACCACGTTTGCTGATCGTGTGTTTGCTACCGAGATGGACAAGAACATACAGATCTGTGCGGCTAACTATGAACAAACTCTGTTCAAAGAAGCTTTGAAATACGCTTTCTTTGAATATCAAGTAAGTGCAAATTTATTCTTGTGCGCTTTTTTCATCTAATTGATTTACTTTTTGCGAGGATTTCTATATATTATTGTCCTTTGTTATCTCAATTTATTCTGAAACCCATGTTTGTTTTGCTGCTTTAATTTTGTTTTGTAGGCCCTTCGTGACATGTATCGTGAACTTTGTGGTGGCCAAGACGCTGCTATGAATGAGTCGCTAGTCTTTCGGTTTATTGAAACACAAGCTCTCATCCTTTCTCCCATATGCCCACATATCGGAGAGCAGATATGGCAGATACTTGGAAAGGTAATAGCATTTACTTTTTCGTTTCATTGTTACTGTAGGAACTATCCAACGTTTTTCAGAATGAGCTCATAGTCTGCGCAAAATGGCCAGAAACACAACCAGTAGACGAGTCTCTAGTCAAGGTAAATTATTTGAAGGTTTCCTTTTGATTCTTGACATTTTTCTATTTAAAACTTTTTAGGCTGCAGATTTTATGCGTGATGTTATGGTAGACTTCCGCGCAAGAGTGAAGAATTCTATGAGCTCAAAGAAGAAGAATGCGTTCACAGAACCTCCATCAGAAGCTGTGATCTATGTGGCCAAAGAGTTCCCAACTTGGCAGAAAACTATCCTGCAAATCTTGGAGAAGAGCGCTAATGAGAACAATGGCGCACTACCGGATAATAAAACCATCTCACAGATAATTGCAAAAGAAGACGCGGTCAAGAAATTCCTCAAGAAAGCAATGCCGTTTGTGCAAATGGTCAAAGAACAGTACGAGCAGAAAGGAATGGCTGCATTAGCGACTGCATGTGCATTTGATCAGGTAAGGAAGCTGATTCAGCGCGGTTATTTTCTGAGGGTTATCAAAAACAATTTTATTAATGATTTTTTGTGATTTGGAGTATTGAAATCGATATGCGCTTTTTCTTTTTTTTTCTCCTTTTTGCTTTCTTTCGGATTCTTCCGAACCCAATGCTGTTGTTGTTTTTTTTTTGCATAATTTTCATGCGATCTGCAGCACTAAATTTGTCAAATATAGCTGGGTGTTAGAATTGCTCCAATCATCAATAGTCGCGTGACCCGTAAGCGCCCGGGTATAGCTTTTGTTTGAAGTCCTTCTGCTGAAACGCGTTTTTGTATTTGCAGTAATTCTTTTTAATGGTGATTGAAATTTTTTTTCTTTCGAATCTCTAATAGACCTGCAAGATTACACAAGAAAAAAGTTGTTTCGCTCGTATCTTATCATCTACAACTCTCCATGACCTTTTTAGTGCAGCCGCGTTATCTTGTTTTTGGTTTTGCGTAAATACGTAGCTCATCAATCATGACATT